AATTGTGGTAGTGAATGTTCAGGCGTGAGGGAAGTTACTTCAAAGCGACAATGTTTTTCTTTTACTTCCAGAGAATATTATTTTCTTTGTAATGGGAAGACTGCTGAGCTGCTGATTATTTCTAGCATCAGCGTAGTGGTGCACCACATTCCCAGCAGCCTGTGTATCTTACACTCTCCATGGTGTTGAAAGGAGGGGGAGAGATCTTTGGTTAAAAGACAGATATATTCAGGCTACAATGATACAGCACTGACAGCCACACCTGTTCCACAAAGAACTAAACCCAGTATCCCTAACAGGCAGAAAACTGGTGAACTGTTGCCACCTACTGACCAAATATGGAATTACAACAGGCAGCAGAGTGGCAGGGATGCAAATCTACCATGATATGAGTTTTAATGTTTACTTTCTGCTTTGTTTATGTCAAATGTTGTACCTTCTGCAATCCTATATATACATCTGAAACTGAAGTTATTTCAGATTAATATTTAACTGAGAAAAAATACACCACATAGCTCAAAGTATGTGGACATCCACTACAACTAAACCATACACCCACATGTGATTCTTGAAGATCTCAATCTAAAATCATGGCTGTAACAGCCCTCCGTTCGTCTGGGAAGGCTTTTCACAAGATTTCGGAGCTTGGTTGCAGGGATTTGCTCCCATTCAGCCACAAGAGCATTACTGAGGTCAGTGACTGATGTTGGACAATGAGACTTGACACACAATTTGATGGAGCTCCTTGTCTATGAGCAGGCCCACCGAAGAGACCTTTCCCCTCTAAACCTCTCACAGTCATTTAATTAACTGTTCACAGCTAACACAGAGGGCATGTTTCACAAGATTATTTGTTATATATACATAGAAGTAAATATAGATTTGTGTAGCAGAACTCTGTTTTTCTTCTTTCATTCCCCACTAATCATTGAATAATGATGTAAAATCCATCATTTATCCTGTGTTCCTTTGAAGGGGGAAAACCCCAGGTTGGGGTCCACTGGACTGTAGTTGAAACTGGCTCCACCTCGACCACATACAACAGTAAAATTCAATAGCCATTTTTCTGCAGAATACACCATATGTGGTTACTTGAGGTACATTTAGCTGATAATAGATATGAGGATATGTTACATAGGATTTTGAATGCAAGGAGTATAATATTTTTGTGAAGTAAAAAAGTCCAAGTAATCCACTGAATGTTATGGCATAAACTACCTAATAATACAGTAAGATATAATAATATAAAGCAATTTTACATTTAGTACTGTTTCTAATGCAGTACTTTTACTTGTAATTGAGTAGTGATGATAATCTAAAATCCGTCTATTAAATTGCCCTACCTGGTCACTGTTTTTATTGGTGATCGTTTCCTCAGTGATTAGGCGACTGCAGTTCTCACAGATTTATAATGCAGCAGGCTGACTCATAAAATGTTGAGATGTGGCAGCACTGGGCTGTGTGCATTTGCATAGTAGTCTGCCTCTGCACATTAAACACCAGGATGTGAGTGACTTTATTATAGTAGGCTATAACTTTATCCTAATCCAGAAACATATTATAATAATTACTACTACTTTATTACTACTAACTTCGAAATAAATAAGATGAAGTAAAGTGATCATCAATCTGTCGCTAACAGTCGTAAGGTGTATCATCCTACAGGCAGACTGACATTTGCGTGCTGCACAGTTGGCACCGGAGCGATTGCACACTGACCTAACCTCTGATAATGCGGAAAAGCATGTTTGAACAACCTTAGAATCTCACTTCCTAGTGTAGGGTTTCATGCCCGTTCGCACACCTTCCTCTCCGCACACGCAGTCCGGGACTGGTGCGGTGATTTGGCTGCAGACTTCGGGCAGGACGCGCCTCGGAGGCCACCTGAGGGGTGTCGGTTGGCTTTTTAGGGGGGGCCGCAGCAAAAAGAGAAGAAAGAATGGAAAGTTTCAGTGAAAAGTGTATGAAGAGGCGTTGATTTACATTTTTCTATCCACTGGAGCGGAGGCACGCCTCGCCTGTGCTGAGGGCGCATACCTGTACAGACCTGCCCGGAGCCCGTTAGACAGAGAGGACTCAAGAGGGGGAGTCCAGACCGAGGAGACACACCTTGTCTTCTCTTGCGTCTACGGCGCCCCCCACCCCGACCCCACCCTCTCTCTCTCCCTCTCTCTTCTCTCTGAAAGCGAAGGAATAACCGATCTGAACACTGAAATGTCGTCAAATCAGAGAGCAACCCGGGCGCTGAGGGAGATCCAGCAAAACCCTGGAAATGACACTTGCGCAGACTGCGGCGCCCCCGGTAAGAGGAGGAATGTTTAACTTAGCGGAAAAGTGTTTTAAAGGGGGGGGGGGATCAAACTTTGTATCATATCTGGAGTTGCTGAGATATGACGTGTAGAAGGTGTGGAGCATTTACCTGTGCAAACATGGTAAAGTTAATCATTAAAGCATCATATTTCTGAACTGTTGCTTCTATTCTTCAACCACTGCAGCCCAGAGTTCTCAGAGCTACTTAAAACTCAATGTTCCTGACACTCCTTGACTTGCATTCTGTTATTTTGACCTTAAATCCGCGGCAGGGTGAGCTAGGGACTCAGAGGGGAGAGCTTTCCTGCAAGAGAAGAAACTTTCAGGGTTCAACAAGTCCTGACATGCAGAGTGTATGCACACACCCTCACCTTGTGCTTTCAGCCCCACCTTGGAGGTCCTCCTGTAGGTCTGCAGTATGGGAACTGTACTGCCCTACAAAAGCAAAGCAGTAAATGGAAGAAGTTACTTTTAAGTTAATAGGGTTTAAAGCTTTGAACAGCTGCCTTAATTTTATACCTTTTATGCTGATTAATTTACCCAAAGAAATCAGGCTACAAAAGCAGATACTGCCTTTGGTTAATCTTCATTGAATGCAAGACGAAAAGGCTGTAGACCCATCTTCAAGCAATATTAGGCTTTTCAGCTTCCCCTTACTATTTCAAGTTGTTAAAAAAAGAAACTTTAATTTAGTAATTTAATGTCCACCGGGGTTTAATTGATTCTCTGTAATAGTTATATTGAATTCAATGTAAGAAATTATTTTAAAAGGAGCTCAACCACACTAAATCACATGGAATTCAGTAGAACTAAACAATGGCAATGAGGCGGCCGCTACTCTGCAAGGCTAATTACCTTTCAGTTTAACTTTGAGGGTATTAGTTCCAAGCCAGTACAATTATTAATACAAATAAAAAGCCCTATATATTGTATTGCCTTTAATCAATAGTGACAGCTGAAGAGTGACAGGAAAGGTGGAGAGAGAGAGAGGGAGGGGATGACATGCAGCCAAAGGCCACCCGAACCCTGTGCCACTGCAGCAGGGACTCAGACCTGGCACATGGGGTGCCAGCTCTATCGGGTGAGCTATCAGCACCCCTCAAGCCAGTTCAGTTACTGTGGTTTAGTTTTTAGCTCAGTTTTGTACTGAAAACCTAACATCCAGTTTTTGAGTAAATTCAACATTTCTGTGGATGATGAAACACAAGTTAGATTCTGGTCTTAACCCAAGTTAGACTAAATGGGCTATGCAGTTAATGCATTTGGCTTTGTTGCAGCCCAGACTCATAAACAGTAAGCTACATGCATTACATTTCAGTGCAGCACAGTCGGATTGGGAAATGAAGTGAATTCAGACCCTGGGGCACCATGTTGCTGTAGTTTAGGAGTGCGACAAAGATAATCACTGCCAGGTCTTATCTCTTAATCGCTAACGTTTTTATGTATCCAAAGAAGGTTGGCTAGCCTTTACTTTACTGGATTAAGTGCCTTTCTCAAAAACAACTTTTTCCAAGTTCCAACTCCTCTGGTCACATTTTAGCACATATCCCTGTCGTATCCTCTGTTCCTCGTGATCAGAGACAATTTGTATGTATGGGCGGGTTCATTTTTATCCAGCGAGCTCCATGGCATTGTGAAACAGTGACATAGGCAGGTATTAACCAGCCAGGTACACTGCGTTCTAATCTGTCGTGTACAGTTGAAAAATGGAGAAAAAAAAGAATGCCCTGTTCTGCCTGCTGTGATGTGTACCGATAAGAACGAGGGTAGAGTAGTTTACTGGCAAGATGCAGTGTGTGTCTCGAAGATAAGACAGGTGTGGTGCAAGAAAAAAATGTCTTATATATTAGGTCTCAAAGACGGGAAGGGGAAACGCAGATACATTAACCTGAGAGATTTCTGGCTAGAAAGTGAAATGGTTTCATTCCACCTACTACTATTGAGTTCAGCCTTGAGCAAGGCACTGACCCAAACTACTTCTGAAGAGGCAGTCCAAATACATATCTGTTGTGAGGTGTGCATGGTGCTGCTTCAACTTTCTCTGCATAGGAAGGTGTTCAAAAACTTAATTTTAGCTTTCACAATATCAGGATAAGTAACAATGCCACCTTAATTCTCAGACATGCAAAACATGTAGGTTATGTCTCTACTCCCTGGACTTTATAGCTTGATCTATGATCGAGATAATCATAAGCATACCTCAATTTCAGCCCCTCCATCTTTCGATCCGTTGGTCTCTGTCCCCATACTCCATTTGTTCTCTCCATCTTCCTCTCTGCAGATCCCGGGTGGGGCTCCTGCTCCCTGGGGGTGTTCATCTGTCTGGCCTGCTCTGGGATCCACCGCAACATCCCCGACATCAGCAAGGTCAAATCCCTGAGCCTTTCCCACTGGGAGGACCACGAGGTGCAGGTGAGACCACAGAGCTGGCAGCATCACCCCCCTCCGTCTCAACCAATATGAGTGGTACCAATTGTACCATCGTCCTGTCAGCAACGAAGGCAACAGGCATATTTCCCAAAATGTCTAACCATTCCTTAAACTCAGTTGAGAGAAACACATATTTATACTTAACTTTATGTGATACTATTATTATGATATACTAAACTTATTAGTTTATTTACAGTTGGTGGTCAGTTAAATAGACTCAGATAACATTACTGAGGCAGAAAAACACAGAAACAGTTCAAATGTTTTCCAAATTTATTTTGTGCTTTATTGTATGTCCTACCTCATAAAACAGGGCATTATATTGCCAGTCCAATGAGGGATGACTGATGTTTCTCCAGTGGTACCGCTTAGAAATCCTTGAAATTAAGAATCATCATGACAGAAAAAAGTTTCCTTTCTATTTTTGAAGCTTATCTGGGGAAATAAATCAAGTGCATATAAATGATTTCCAATGTTACAACAGCACATTCTTGCCAAATACATTTCTCCCTTTTCCTGGAACCGTGCAGATGATTTACAGAAAGCAGATGACAAATGTTATTGGTACTTTGCACACTTTTATCTAAAAATATTTGTTTCATTCATCATCTTAGCTCTCTGATGTATTATTTTATTCTAACATTGATAAATATTTGGTTTCTGGTGAGTTTATTTTCCTGTTGAGCTGATGAATAAATTGGAACTGTAAAACCGTAAGGTAACGTGCCAATGTGTCATTCATCCTTGGATGACAATATATGTGTGTGTGTGTGTGTGTGTGTGTTTTAGTTCATGGCTGAGAATGGAAATGAGATGATGAAAAGTAAATATGAGGCTGCTGTTCCAGTCTACTACTACAAACCGACCCACAAAGACTGCCAGTAAGTAACCATATCAACACACACACATAAACTCAAAAACATTTATGCTATCAAATGTACAATTTCAAACATTGTGTATTTTGTACTTCATTTGCAAGTGTGCACCAATGTGTGATCATGTGTATCCATGCATGTGGTTTCCTGTTTTTGTTGTGTATCTAGGCACGTGTTGGGCAAACAACAAACCTCCTTGTTGTCAGGGTTAGTCAAGTCCAACTTGATTAATATACAATTCAAAACTTATCTCATTTACCTTTGGAGGTAGTGTTTCGATTTTAAGGTGTGCGTTTAAAGCAATACTTGCAAGGTTGCAGGGTTGTACGCTCTGCCCTTCTCACACTCTGAGCAGTAGTTGGAGATACATACATGGCCTTCAGCTCCCCTTGTACTTGCAGTTGAACATTTTCAGTGTGAAATACTGACACATTCAACCCCAGTGTGACACCTCTTGGCAGTTTTTCATACATTCTTGGACATGTCTCTTTTTTGGGGATTTTCTTGCTTTTCTACCAGGCAGATTTGCTCAGGTATGGTCAAGTGTATAGAGAGTGTCTGAAAAGGTTGCTTCTTCATGTCATTCCACTGATTATTTATGGGATTCAAGTCTGGGCTTTGAATTCTGCCACTCAAGACATTTTTACATTCTAGCTTAAGAATCACAGAGACAGAGAAAAACAGAATGTTTTTATTGCGGCCATCATTGTGTTGTGTTATTGTGGTGCTTAGTTTTACAATTCAAGCCCAACATTCGAGTGTTCACTGTTATTCCTAACGATTCCTGACAGTCATTTTTTTTAATCTACTGACTTTGTTTTGATTAACCATTCAATCGATAAAATGTTAAATAGAAGTGACGAGAGCACAATGACAAGACCTCAGATGTCTTGTTTTGTCCTAACAACACATAAAAATCCAGAGATATTTGATTTACAGTCATATAAATCAGAGAAAATCCTAAAATTTGCTGAATGAAATAAGTTAGATAATCAAACGAATGTCTATTAATTGTCTGTGATTGACAGGATTGATTAATCTAATCATACTTTTAGCACTCAGTCTCCATCTTACTTGAGTCTGACCTGGAAAAAGAAGTATACTCAATGCTAATGTATTATATGCCACAATTCTAGTTGAATTTATTTTGAATTAAAATCACAAAAATGTAAATACGCAATATATAATATATATAATAGATTTTTAAGAAACAGATACAGTCACAGGACCTAACCATTATCCAAAATAGTTTTTGTCTTGAATAATGAAACAAGGATTGCAGAGAATGTTAACAGCATTCGCCTCATCATTTTTATTAGCAATGATAAGCGAAGGAAGAGTGTGTGAAGCATTTTATTTGCATCAGTGAATTTATTGTATTAGTTCAGGCAGCGAGTTTATATTGCACAGAATTATGATTAATGAAGTGAATATACAGTGAGACAAAAGAGGAGAACAGGAGAATTGTTTCGGTGTGTGTATGTGTGTGTGTGTTGGCAAATTCCGATCTGTATTCACCTGTAGTTTAAGGATCTTAAATGATTTAGACTCAACTGTGAATTAAGTATTCTTGACAAAAACATTGCCTTGTTCTCAGCCTGAACACAAAGGCTAACCGTTTCTCATTAGCAGTCACTTTCTCCACCCGTATAGCTTTTCTTTTGGTCTCTAACAGCTTTTTCTCATTATTTTCTCCATTATTTTTCTCCATCGTTTTCTATATTTGAAATGTCTTTTGTTTTATGTAGTCTTCTAGCAAGAAAAATGTGATATGTGCATGCAAAATTAGAGAAATATATTTTCCCCCAAACCAAACAGTAATACTGGTTATTTTGTAATATTGCCAGTCCTGAGCATCAACTTGTGCAACTTGTGAGGACATGATTGGCAACGGCCATAATGCCAAACTCAAGGCTTTAAAATGGAACTCCATGAATCATCAAACCATCATCATGATAGGTTCACACGCTCATCACTAATAGGTGCTATTAAAGTAGCTGTCAATTCATCCACATACAATAGATCACATAGTTATTTTTCTATATACACTAATAACATATTGAAATGGCTGCTGAGAGGAATGTTTGGGATTGTGTGAGTGCGAAGAAGGGAATTTCTGGAAGAGAAAAAAACCTTCTCCTGTAGGATAAAACGACAAACACAGACAAAAAAAGCACAGGAAGCTGCCACAGTCACCCTGTTTGAGTGTGTGGACGGTGAGAGGAGATTGGAGTCACTACAACTGTAAAAATGTGCCTGAGGACAGTTGAAATCCCCACGCCCTTCTGTCTCTCTCGTGCACACACATTTATAGGCTACGCGCACCTAGTACCTTCTTTGATCATTAGTAATAGAGACTGGTGCAGAGGAAGGTGGGTGTGTGTGAGAGATAGATAGATAGAGAGAGAGAGAAGAACCAATTGGCAGCTTAATCCTTGTTCCTTCCAGGTTCGGTGTATGAAAAGAGCTGAATCAGCTGGCTTCAGCTTGACCCATTATACTTTCTGGGGTCTTTAGAGAGTCAGTTTGCTGTAAGGGGATCAAATACACACACACACACACANNNGTTTTGATCCTGAGCCAGGTTTGCTGTAACTTCAGGTTCAGTTTAAAATAAACTAGTTCCTAATATGTTTTCAGTTAAACTGATACTTATATCAGATATCAAGTTAACCAGAACAGCTGTTGGGTCCTAAAAGGAAGTGAATTTGCTTGAGATAATGTTAGCAGATTAACTGATCTTTGACAGAGTAGTTGCTGCTCTTTATAGTCTGCTTTAATGTATTAGGCTTCACTAGACAGACAGACAGACAGACAGACAGACAGACAGACAGAACAGACAGACAGATAGATAGATAGATAGACAGATAGATAGATAGATAGATAGATAGATAGATAGATAGACTTTATTGTTCCCAGCTGGGAAATTATGTATGCAACCGAGCATCTTTCACACCCACCACAAAGTACATCAGACGTCTGTTCGTCTGCTTTCAGCTGCTGCTTTTTACAAGCTAGCTCTATTTGAACGTTTTTCATCTGTTTGTGTGTGTTCAGAGGTGTCTGAGGAGCAAGTGGATCAGAGCAAGTAGAGAGCAAGGAAGTTCTCTGACCTGGGAAGAACTCTTACATATGAGGAAGGGTGAGTCTCCTGCACACACACACGCACAACAACACATTTACCTTTACATGACATACATAACATACATAACACCTTTACATAACCTTTGCTGGTTTCCTGCAGGAACTAGAGATGGCTTGTTGATGAAGAGGGGGCGGGACAACGGGCAGTTCCTCAGCAGGCGATTCGTCCTCTCAGAGAGGGAGGGGACTCTGAAGTATTTCACCAAATATGACGTAAGCTGCAGCTTTTAATGAGACTTTTAGTGGCCACATGCAGCTAAACACACACTTCGCCTCCACACACACACACAACCACACACACACACACCCTACACAAAACCATGCCTGTGAGATACCAGTAATCTACTGTAATTAGAGTCCTAGTTAGGGTTGTTTGAAGGCAGTAGTTCACTTCCAGCACATGTGCCGACACCCACACACACATACAACCACAACAGAAACACCTTAATTAGAGGACACTTTAAAGACATAGAATATTCCTTTGACAACACCCCCGCCCGAATTATGTGTTGCAGTATTTTTACACACGTACACACAGTTAACTTAAACATATCTATCAAAAGCCTACACAATGTATCTGTACCTGCTCCCTCCGCTGCATCTGAGCGTGCTCAGACAAGCTTAACCAGCAGCTTGTCCTCTCTGTCAGTGCTGCTGATTCACTAAGCTGTACACCACCCGAACCAATTAGGACTGGAAGCACTGGGAGCACTTTGTTTGTCACAGTAAACCAGCTCAGGGGAAGTGGGAATCATATATTTAAATCATTCTGATTTTTTAAATATGGATTTCCAGTGTGTTTTAGCATGTGTCTTGGCATACAAATGTCTTTTCATTGTGGATGTTTTTCATGTTCTTCAGGATTGCTTTTCCTGTGAAATATTATATTCACGGTTGTTTCCTTTTCTCATGGTGACTGCTATAACAAACAATACAACAAAAACACCATCATAGAGTCACAACCATGATAAAAGTGAAGCTGTTGCTGAGTTGCTTCAGGTTTTTAAAGCTGAACAGTTGGTTGGCTTTCAGAAGAGCCTTGAGGTGTGTGAAATATTCAGGCACATTACAGTCTGACAAAAATCCAACTGACTGCTGCTTCTCACTTTCTCTCGCTTTTCTCTCACTGTTTTTTTTTTTGTCATCCTGTGAGAGTCAATACTCAATACCAGAAAAGAGTAATATCTAATCTGCTGTCATATAAGCATAGCTGTGTATGTTATCTGGTAAAGTCAAGGGCAGGAGATACACAGTGACACAGATTCTAGTCCCATAGATACGTGTTTAAATTCAAGTCAGGACGGATTAAAGCACAGCTTCCACAGACAGGTTTGCTGGGATTAGTGTCGGTCTAGGACATGATGGCTATCAGTGATGCACACTGATGTGTAGATAATAGCTCTAGATATCATTTCCATGGTTAGAAAGAGCACAACATATGGCCAGAAGCCTTTGTAGCAAACACACACCATGACTCCATTACTATACTGTTTTTCTGGCCAAGCAGTGGCTGCAAAATTTCATGAGTTTCTAATAAAAAAGTTTCTTATCATGACTGGTCAAAACAATGAAATCAGGAGGAAGTTCATTAATTGGTCCCAGGCCATTTAATTTATTATGTATTTGATAATTATTCTACTTTTTGAGCAATTATATCTAAAATAACAAGGCAATCAAGATTAAACTACAAGAACATTAAAACATGTTAAAAAAAATAGATATTACATAGAATAAAATAAGTAGTCAGTTGTTTCACTGAACATATACGTTTTAATTCCACTGTCCAAGTTAAGTAATCATGATGGATTTAATCAGTCTTGGATTGATGACGAGAGGGCAGATGTGCAGTTACGCTTTGTTTTGCTGATCCTTGCTTTCCTAAAAGACACAAACAAACCCTTGTCCTCCTCTCCTCCCTCTCTCCTGCAGGCTAAGGAGCCCAAAGCAGTACTCAAGGTGGACACCATGAACGCAACCTTCCAGCCCGAGAAGATAGGAAACCCCAACGGCCTGCAGATCACCTACCTCAAAGACTACAGCACCCGCAACATCTTCGTCTACCATGACAACGGCAAGGTCTGCATTGCTGTACCACTGTGTGTGCGTGATCAGCGCATAAAACATACAACCTAAAAAGACAGCAAATGTTAACTAATGTTAACTAACTTACATTGTAGCACAAGTTGGCATTCACATGGGATATTTGTCATCTATATTCAGGGACATGTGTTGAAGCTATCTGGTTGGTGTGGGCGAGTCTCCGAACCTTTTCAAACCATCTGTACCATTTTATTTCTGCTGGCTGATGGAATCCATTAGCAGATGACATTCAAGTTCCACATTTATCATTCTGTAATTCATGAATACAAGTTGAAATATATTGATCAGTTCAGTGTTGAAGTTAAAGTTACTTGTGGTGGTCCAATGTCTAAAAATTGAGAGTCTGCTGCAGAACAGAATCAAAATAATGAATTAATTATATAATTAATTTCCGTCTATACAGCTGCACATTAATGTTCAATTCTGACACACTTTAAACTATGTTTCAATGCAGACTAAACATAAAAATAATGCTCTACCCGAGTTAGGTCACAGTGTTTACAACAGTGGAAGCAAAGGTCATAGTTAATAAAAGCTGCTTTCAAACAATGATTTAACGAATCAAAAACTATACTGATCTGAGCAAAGGTATCCAATTCCACAACCATCTTTACTGCTGGATTGTATTCTGCAAATCATTTTCTGACTGAAACCAGGTCACCAAAATTGTAATTAGATTCAGGGTGTTGAGTGTACCTGAACAACAATAACCAGTCAACAACTGGTCAAATAACATTATCTCTCATGAACAGACCGTAGCTTGAAGGTTCATTCTTGAACTGTGAAACAGCAGCTTGACAGAAACAAGGACAACTCACTAGCTGTTTTTGAGGCTTTCAACCACATCTCGTATAGTCACATATAACCCATTTGACAACCGGTTATCACATGACTAGCTAACAAGTAAGCTTTGTGTTGAACATTTTTGGTTTGTCTGTTTTGTCTTTGTTTGCCAGCACAGTTTCACCTGTAAATAATTGCCAAATAAGATTTGTGTGCTTGCAAAATCTTTAAAGTAGAATATAATAGTTTGTTGTTTGTGCGGGGTTATGATCATCAATCAAGAGATAATATTTCTGGCTGTGTCAGAGCTTTATCACCCTCAGAGACCTCACACAAATCTCTGGCATTTATTTCTTTTTCTAAATGACAGTGGGGGAAAAAACAAATGAGCATAGGAATAACTCATTTCCTTGACGTCTTTCTCTCTCTGTCCATTAGGAGGTCGTAGACTGGTTTAATTCAATTCGTGCAGTTCAGCTTCACTATCTAAAGGTGGCCTTTCCTGGGGCAACGGATGCTGAGGTGAGAGACCACAAGCACACATGTACAGACCTACACACACTCACTACCATGAACAGTATGAGTCATTTTTCAAGGACTCCTCTTGTTGATGATTGCTTAGATTAAAATGCTACACATTGATTTTATGTCTGTGCAAGAGTGAGGCAGCTGGAACTCAATTACTGTATTTATAGTTACTGTAAGTGTTGGTCCTGAATCTCTTTGTATCCTCATGGTGTTATTCTTTATCCTTTTGCTTTGCATGTTATTTTTAGCTGATACCCAAACTCACACGGAACTTTCTGAAGGAAGGGTACATGGAAAAGACGGGTCCCAGGGCAAGTAACACACACATGCCTACACACCTACGCACACACACACAGCACGCTGTTACACACACAGATGCATGCACACTGTAAAACTTTCATTGGAAATATGAACAGCTCTTATCTCCCTAAAAAAATTACTAAATGTAGATCTTGGTGGATAAGTTAGGGCTATGAATTCACAACAGTCTGGCTAAACAAATCATGACGTTACAATTCAGTATATTGCGATACTGTAAACAAGGCTATATATTGCATATATACTGTAGAACACACCATTTTAAGCATAAAATGTGAGTTAAAAAAAAGCTAACTTGTTTTATGCAACCAGAACAGTGGGATCTGCATTTGTACAGTATTTATCACAGTCCCTGTAACATCTAACATCATATCCTTCAGTATACGTTCACAACACTGTTATGTAATGGTTAAAGGTTTGGACACAAAAATCAGTACAGTGTTTTTGAGAATCAATACAATATCACAAAACATTTTTTTTGTGTTTTCTTACACCCCTTAAACTCAGACCTTGCTAGTAATTCACTTTGCACCTTATCTGCTTCCAAGTAAGCTCAGTGTCGTAAAATAAAAGGCATCTGGGAATTTATGCCAAAAAACACAGATACAATCCCTCCATATTATTGTTATGACTATATGAATTTGTTCATGTGCCAGGTGGACAAGACAGTAAAATACTGTGTTCAAAACATTATCTTTTGTGTATTCAGAATTAAAACTTAATATACATAAATACATAAGGTTTTTATAAACAGGGTAACCAATAATAAAAACTGTTATATTCCAAATGGGATTTAAATCATGTGGTATCCAATACCATTAACCACACCTCCCCTGGAAGTACAGAACTAATAACAGCATATTTTTCGATTAAGTCAGTTTATCATTGGATTCAGTCATTTGTCATGGCACAGGCACCAGAGGGTGTGCTGTGATTTGTAGTAATTATGGAGATCAGAAATAATTAAATTGGAAATGTTTACATATTCCAATTTTTAAAGTAAAAATTCAGCTTAAATTACCAAGCAGATTTACTCCTGCACTGAATCATATCACTAATTTCAACAATAATTCAACTTTATAATGTGATTCTAGGTGTACTTTTCATAAAATGGTAGAAACACTAATGGGTGCAATAGATCAGTTTTGGCAAATAAAACTTAAGGTTTTACTTCATTAAAGTGACACATCCTAAAAACTACAATTGTGTACGGTCCAGCAGTGGTTTCATTCTCATTCAGTGTGTTTCACAAAACAGACAAAGGGTCATTTGTGAAAGGGGCTGAATTGACTTTTTTATGATGAACAGCATCTTAGTGTGGCAAATCATCTGCTGTCTAGTTGCTATTATACTACTACACTACTACTATACTATACTGCTATTATATCCTACACTGTATATATGATATGCATACTATACATTTTACATGAACAGATTCAGCAAAGGAGTGTGTGTGGTAAATCCCATCCATCATACTCTACACTGGCTTAAAGATGACTGAGACTTTTATTTGTATTGATTTGTTTTGCAAAACTATCTAAACCATAATTTATTCTGAACTGAGTTTCAGCCTACATATCCAGTCAACTAGGTGGACACAGTTCCCTCCTGAAACCTCCTCCTGTGATCCCAGCTCCCACTCTCCCTGCTTTAATGGAATGGGAGCTGGGGAAGAGGTTGACTACCCCAGCTGCCAGTGTGGCTGCTTTCCACCGCTGCCTGACAGGGTGACTGACAGTTGAGAGGTCCTACCTGCCTGCCTCACCATCCGTCTGTCTGTCAGTCTGTCTGTGAGGGAATAAAAGGCTTCCAGCTGAGAGTTAACTTAATTCTTCGGTGCCAAAACCTCAAATACACACAGAAACATGGACATATGTTTGGATTAAGCAAACACACAGAGGGGCATATCCATGCAGTCATGCACTGTTGCAAGCATCTGTAGACACATGCATGTGTTTAATAGGATTCAGACAGAACACCTACAGCAACACCAAGCAACCTGATCCTCAGCGACACAACCGGTTCTGTATTCAGACGCATGCAGACTCACAGTTTAATCTCTGTCTGTCAGGCTGAGAGATCAATGGACGCACTAACTTGCTCTGCTGGGCTCATTTGCAAAATGGGTGTCATAATTCATTTCCCTCACATATGTGTGAGACATATTTGTGGAAGGAGTCACTGGTGAATTGAGAAAGGAACAGTCAGTTGTTCAGCTTTATGCTACAGAAGGAATATCAAAAACTTTTATGAGGGCAATTTGGCAGCAATCGGGGACCTGAGCATCCTCATTTTTTGAAGTTCGGCTCTCTGAAAAGAGCGCGAGCTGCTCGTGCACTTCATTAAACTCTCCGAAGGTGCCATGCTTCATGATCTTTGATTGCTGCTCTCCACGTGAATTTGCTTCTGCTGCAGTTATGTAAACGTTCAACCGTGACAACAAGTTTGAATTTTCAGATTCAATATCAAACATTCAGACGGGGCAGCCAAGAGGAAACTCTGTTTTTGTATAAATCACAGAAAACCCTGCAAATCTAACAAGGATGAATGCTTTTTAAAGCCTGAGATATAATGCACTTCCATGGTCAAATGTCAGTTACAAGAGAATGCTACACTACTGATTCGTAAAATGGAATATTATTGTGATTGAATTAGGCTTAGTCAGGGTCAGTCAAGAAAAAGATAAATAAAACACCAGCAGCACAATCTCACCCCCCGTCCTCAAAGTCCACATCCATTGTCAATATTTTGGTATTGTTGGTGATACAGAAATTCCATTTTGATTCTGACTTTTAGTGCTGAAACAATAAGTCTTCACTGACTAATGAATAAAAATGAATTGACAAACAATTTACATGATTGACTCATTGCAAAAGTAATTTTTTAAGTAAAAATATCAAATATTTGCTGGTTCCAGATTCTCAACTGTGAGGATTTGCTGCTTTTATCTGCTTTATATCACTGTAAATAGAATACCTTTGGGTTTTGGACTTTTGATTAAACAGCCTAAACAAGGAATTGAAAAGAATAATTGATGAGGCCAGTTTAAAAATTGACAGTCTTAGATAAAGTATCAGGGAACTCCTGCTGTCAATTTAAGCAGAGTATGAATCACTTTTTGATTTTAAGACCAGACACCGCATTTGGTAGAAGTACAATGCTTCTTTGTGTTTGTTTCCCTCTCTCTATCTCCGTCTTTCTCTGTCTCACCCACGTCATGTCTGACTGTTGCTGTCAACTTCTTTGTCTTTGCAGCAAACAGAAGGCTTCAAGAAACGCTGGTTCACTCTGGACCACAGACGACTCATGTACTTCAAAGATCCGCTGGTATGACATCTTTACACACACCTACACACATCAGAAAAGACGTCAGTATAGGCAGCTCCTCACATTTTAAGCCTTTAGCTGATGCCTGATTGACTAATGGTTTAGTTTCTTGTTCCCAACCTACCGAGAAAAATGCCTTGATGGTAATTGTGTGCTCTTAAAAGATACTTGCATACCATGGAGAGCCAATTAGATTAAGTAGAGAATGCTGTGGATATGAATCCATGACTCAGTGGGGAGAGCATAATAGGAGGTACTTTCATTTGTACATAACATTATTATGCAGTAACGATTGTCTCAAAGTGACGTGAAACACTGACCTGCAGACTAGCTTCATCCTGTGAGCTACACTGGAAAGTTCCACAACAACTCTATGTGCAAATGTGTACCTTAATTATCGGATATCAGTGGTTGAAAGGTAGAGACGTGGCATGAAAGGGGATTCTGAGTCACTGAATGATGAGAGTGGAGTTTTTTATTGCAGGAGTTATCACAGAAACTTGCTTTGCGAGGGCTGCGATCTAGATTTCCCAAGACTTGGCTAAACGCATATCAGATAGCCAAGCCAGATTAGCTCAGCTTTGTTGCTGATGAAATAGTTCAATGGAGAGGTGCAATAATTATAGGTGCTAAGTGACTGAAACTGAAAACACTGAAGAGTGTTGGACAAGAAAAACTGGTAGATGAAAAGAAAAGGAAGTCTACTGAAGTTAAGTGTGGACTGGGAATATGTGGCGGGAGCTCAAAGCAAGTGTAATATGATCACTAGGAGAATCACTAAATTATGCATGTTAGATGTATGTTCACTGTGTATGGAAGTTGTTCACACTATGCTAACAACATGACATGTCACCTTTCAGTTATAGCCTGATGGGAATGCTATTGGTTTTGCATGCACATAATTACAGTTCATCCTGAGGGGAACATTAATGTTTGCAGGATTTGCTGCAATTCTTTGTTATGTGTGTTTGTCATGTGTATAAAATGTCTTTGGGATTTGGAATGCTGGCTGGACTAACAAGGTATTTTATAGACTAAATGATTAATCCATGAATCTAGAAAATAATCTGCATATTAATCGATAATGAAATTAATCATTAGTTGCAGTCCTAAATGTCTATGCCAAATTTCTTAGGAATCCACCAAATAGAAGACATGTTTGACTATAAACCAAAAATGTTAGCACTGTAGCGCTGGAGGAAAAGTCAGGGGATTACTGCAGGAAATACGATTCATCCTATTGTTACCATAAAATAAAAAACTTAATGGGATAATCATGCAGTAGCTGTTGAGATATTGGCCAACAGACCAACATTGCCATCCTAAAAACAGCTGTTTGGGAGCTGAGAGTAGCATAGTATATCCAGTTTATTGTACTTCTTACATTTACTCATAACGTGACTGAATTGAACAACACCAACAGTTTTTTTAGTATGTCTTATCTATTTGTTCTTTAACCACTGTGGTTCCAAAGATAAATGTTTTTATATTGAACCACAGAACATGTCATATTTCCGTTTAGTTGGTCAGTTCACTCAGTATTTAGCAGAGAAACAAAAACAGAATGACTTTATTCATCTGATGAACTCCTTTTGTTTAAGACAGACACCGTGTCCTGGTAAACATAATGAGTAGTCTATAATCTAAAGTTGACCTCTGTGTCTTTCACTCTCCCTCTGTTTGAAGGACGCCTTTGCCAAAGGTGAGGTGTTCTTGGGGAATAAGGACCACGGTTACAACGCCTTCGCCGGCTTACCTGCTGGCACCCACTGCAACGGCGCCTGGCAACACGGTATCACCATACAAACACCTGACCGCTGCTTCCTGTTCACTTGCGAGACAGAGAGCGACCAGCAGGATTGGCTGAAACACTTCAGCGATGTCCTGAGTGCTCAGATGTCCCCTCAGGAGTACACAAGTAAGAATTCACAACTTTGTAATAGTCATTAATAGTAATTAAATATTTATTAGCTGTTAGCCTTTGTAATTAGCTGCTGATTACTTATTTTGTAAGTCAATGTTGAATTAACAACCTAATGATAACATTTGTTTGTTAAGGAAAGCCTTGTGTGCATTTTTCTCAACATCTTTATGCAGTTGCACATACGTACACATGGGAGTTAGTGAATCAAACCAAACCATCCATTACTGGCACTGAGCAGCTCCAGTGGAGTAGCTGTGGGTTAAATACCTCTGTGATGGTTAAGGGAGGATGGGGTTTTGCTTGCAGAAAGCCAACAGGGTCACAATTCACTTTTTTTAAATCAGCTTACACTGCTGAGGCTCACTGGTAGTTGTAAATCTTATCTCCCAAGAGTTTGGCTGTGTCTGAAATCACTTGCTTGCGAGCAGTAAATCGAGATTCTTATCATCGCTTCCTGTCATGAGTTGCACAACGGTAACTTTTTGCATCTATAAAATATGGAGCATTGCATTGTGGGATCGTTAGCAGAGAGTAGAAAGTAATCCCAAGACACTGCTTTTTTGCTCCATTTAAGGCCCTAGGCCTGTATAGTGCATAAAGAAAAGAAAGAAATCCAAAGATCACTTATTGATCTTTAGTGGTTGTGGTGAAATATATGGACAGTTAAAATGGTAGAGGTTGCCATGCTCACAGCGACAACGCTGATGTATAAATGTTTGCCGTTTTCTTCTTTAGCATCTTAGCATGCTAATATTTGCTATTTAGCACTAAACACAAGGTACAGCTCAGGCTGATGGCAGCCATTATCTGTCGAGACATTTCTCTCCGAGCCAGAAATGTCAACCTTCTAGCGGTGCTACAGGAAAAAGTCAGAGGATACACTGTCTAGGAACCATGAAAGTACAATGTCTGGCAAAATGATACAGCAACTCAACAACCCATATTGGAAACCCTAGGACCATTCCATTAGTAGAGCCAAATACCTAAACATTGCTGTAAAATGAATCCAATAATCATTTTATTTTAATACATTTCTGATATAATGCAATGAAAGACTACCCTCATTTCTTAAAAAGAATCACATGTTAAAAGGGCAAATTATTGCAATTTAATGAAACACCAAGACTCTATTGTATTAGTTATACAAAATGATTTGGGTAAAAGAACATTTTTTTCTAACACTGTCGTTTGATTTGTTTTCAAGTGGAAGCCTTGTTCAAGCACAGGCATTGATGGACCAGAGACCTGTGGGACCATATCCTCTTCTCTCAGCCCATTACCGATCTGACACAGGACCCATCAGCATCAGTTCTGACTCCTTTAGTGATTTAGGCAAATTGTAGCAAAATCTGCATCACTAATATGGTCAGCCTGGAGCTTGTTGCTACTGCCAAATGCAGCAATGGAGTTAAAATGTAAACAATAGGACCAAGGTAATATTCATCAGTAAATAAAAAACAAGAAATCTGCCAAAACAAATAATAACACTTCAGTGTACAGTGGCAATAAATATGATTTATGTTAGATTTTGTTTTGGTGACAGTTTTTGCATTAGTTGTTGTGGTATATTTGCACTGCAGAGCGATCACTTGTCAGTCAAACAGTCTGGGGATTACTGTAACATATTTCTTTAGTGGATTTTGAAATTCTAGACGGCGCTCCTTTCTTGGCTGGTTTAGACATGGTCCCTATTGGCCATGCTAACTAACTATGAATTCACTTTCTGTGTGCCAGTGGATTGTTTTTTTTTATTATTATTATTATTATTATTATTATTTTGAAATAATGTGGCTGTAATTTTTAGGTTTATTTGGTTTTCAATATGAGATTTAAGGAAAATGCATTTTTAAAGTGAGAAGTACCTTGGTCCTCTTGTATTAAGTATTTTATTTGTGATGATTGATGGTGATTTGGTAATACTATTAAGGTACATTATACATTATACATACTATTAAACCAACCTTATAACTCCTCTAATGACATAGAACATTAGATTCAGCAAGAGTATTGCAGCACAGCTCATGAGCTACAGCTGCAGCATATTGCTTGTTTTGCTATTTCGGACCAAACGTTTTTCCAAGCAGTGACTTTAGACACACTTAACTGTACAGTGTATATCATGAATTTAACATGACTTTTATAATTTTGTTATAATTCTTAGACTAGGCAAAAGTTGCATTTTGTAAGTTGTTTTTGAGACGTGAGAGTAGTTCTGTCGAAGACGTACAGGGAGGACAGGATTTGCAAATGCATTGGGATTGAAAAACTGGGAATACTGTAAGCCATTACGTGGTCTAACAGCGCCTCCATGTGGTGTACAATATATATACTATCTAGACTTTCTCAAAACAAACAATAATTCCAATAATAAGTTATTTTTTTCTTTCTCTTATAGATATCAGCCAATTGAAACATTTTTCTGGTATTTTTTTCATTTTCTGTTTTTTGGTTTAAGAGGTACACACATCTGCTGATTTAGTGTCTTTTTTTTTAATATAGGTATTCCTATGCTTGAACATATCTGACTGACACAGCACATGGAATTATTGATGATCACTAATAAAAATATTTCCTCTGAAAGTCGTCAAGGAATCTCTGTCCAGATTGGTGTGTGAAATCAGTATTAAATCATTTAAAAATAGCCGCTTACTGTTTATTATCACAGCAGAAAGCATCCGAAAAATACTGCATGTTTTAGAGAAAATTATGTGTGAAGACAAATTCAGCAGAAATAATAAATACTCGTTATAATTCACAAAGAAAGCAGGTTTATATTTCTTGTTTCTAAAAGTTATGATCAGAAGAAGAGTAGAATTTCAAGATGAGGCACATAAATTGCTAAAAAGGAGGTTATAGAGTTTATACCTCTAAAATGAGCTAAAATGAATAGATATGCTCCTTTTTATGCATACATTTGGCTGTTGTATAGTATGTGTGTGTAGTTAAGACAATGCCCCTGCCAGTGATTTCTAAATACACCTTGGAGCTCAGAGACAGCAGGTTGAGGCCCGAGAGGAATACCTCATAAATCTATAGGCCCGTGCTAGTTTTTCACCCTGGTGAGAAAGAGGGTGGACAGTGGGAAGAGGAGGGAGAGGACTGTGACCAGGAGAACTCCAAAGAACACAGACACAACAGTCTTCTATCACAACGCAGAGTCAAATGGTGACTGAAGATCCAAGGAGAAACTGAAGGTTTTCCGCCATGCATCATTTATGGAGGTATAGAGGAACGTTTGGAAAAGTAAAGGATCTACTTAGATGTCTGTGTGCAGGTAGAAACCTAGAAGAGGGAAGACGAGACAAATACTGGATATAGCTGTAATTCAACCATAAACAAAAACCTGGACATGTACTGTGGTTCCTACAGTGGACATTGATAGAGGAAAGGGGAGTGATTTTTTTTCTTCCTTTCTTCTCCATACAGAGACTTTTCCTGGAAATGTCAGCAACTGAAGTCTTGCTCAAGCACACCTTGGTACTGCAGGAGCTGGCTATCAAAGACTTTGAACAGTTTTTCAAGTTGAAAGGCAGTGTCCTGACTCACTGTGCCACTCTGCTGCTCCCAAATGACCCTTGTCAGATCCACTTCAGCCCTGAAGCACAACAGAGAAATCCCTGTGCTCTGTAACTGAGAATATCTCTCATGTCTGAAAGTTCTTGTTGGCTTAAATCTTTGCTGGAGGCTTTTTCACTGTCAATTTTGGTAATATGGTATCATGGCTGTTTGGAGGACCTTATTTTTGGGAATAAGTGCAAGCCACCGGCAGCTCTGCAGTCATTGAAGCTGCTGGCCATGTCACTCGTCTACTTACATCTTCTCTGTGGATTAATATAGTTGTTCTCGTCATCCCTGCTCTGCCACCTGTTGCCCGTTTATGTTATTTCTTGGATTTAGCTCAGTTTCTACCAAATATTCATGAGGAGTTCTGACAAGCAATGTTTGCTTTTCACCTGGATTGTGTTAAAAAATGACTGTCTTTACAATCAGCTGCCATCTTGTGTATACAGACTTTAAAATTGTATCCAATTTAATCCAGGAGCCAGCCGCCATATAGCTCTGTGTAAACTGGCTCTTAAAGATTTAGGCCTGACCTCTGACTCATGATCTGTGAACCTGCAATGAATTGCACTCCTAATGCCACCATCACTCCACAGCTGGGAGGGTCCCAGGAGACTGGCGGTGGTGGAGGTGGTGGTGGAGGCAGCGGGGGCCTTTGGGTGACATCCCTGCTCGGTGCCACACTGTTGATCATGTGCGCCATGGGTTTGGCAGGCAACACATACACGCTCATCATCACACGTTCAGCCGCTTTGCGCCGAACAGGTTCCATGTACGTTTACATCATCAATTTGGCTCTGGCTGACCTGCTCTACCTCTCCACCATCCCCTTCGTGGTCTGCACCTACTTCGCCCATGACTGGCTGTTTGGTGAGGCTGGCTGTCGCATCCTGCTGAGCCTCGACCTCCTCACCATGCATTCCAGTGTCTTCATTTTGGTTGCAATGAGCCTGGAACGCTACCGTGCCGTGGCGAGGCCCTTCAGCGCACACAGGTCCTCGTCCCGCAAACGAAGGCTAGTGGCAGGGATTATTTGGGGTTTAGCTTTTGTGCTAACGCTTCCCATGATGGTGATGATCCGACTCAGGGAGGGCAAACCAACTGCAGCTGGTTTGGTTAAGAGAATCTGCTTCCCTACCTGGACCCCTGAGGCCTTCAAGGCTTATATCACTGTCCTGTTTCTTACAAGTGTTCTAGTTCCTGGATTGGTAATCGTTGGGCTGTACGTGGGGCTGGCCAGGCGCTACTGGGCAGCACAGGCTAGCTTAGGAGGTAGCAGCCGGTCTGCCCGGAGGAGAGGACTCAAACAAAAAGTCGTATCAATGATCTTTAGCATTGTGGTGGCCTACTGGGCTTGCTTCTTGCCTTTTTGGGGATGGCAGCTGGCCAAACTGTTTTCTCCAGAGTCTCTCAAAGCTTTGTCTCCAGCTGCTCACAATTATGTGAATTTCTTTGTCACATGTCTAACCTATGGGAACAGTTGTATCAATCCATTCCTTTATACTCTTCTGACCCGCAACTATAAAGATTACTTGGCCCAGAAAGGTCAGTCTGTGGGTTCAAGCAGGACTGACCCCGGGTCAGCTGTGACCACACCACTGCAGGACCTGTAGTGGATGACTGAACAATTACTGAGCTGAACACTGGAGCGAGAAAATGTTATTGACCTATCATTAGCCTGAGACAGGACAGTTTTGTTCAAGTGATTTTGTACAAAATGCTTGTAATCTAAACTTTGTACAAACTTTGCAAAATGCTGTATGCTACATATGTCCTGCTCTGTTGAGAAGGGTAACCAGAGGTGTTGAGGATTCAGAGAAATTCAGCACAGGAGGTGGATGTTTGCTTACACGAAAGTCTTGTGGTTGCATAAATGACACAGTATTTCAGTTTGTATGTATGTACAAATTCTGCCTTTTAAACAATCTCTGATTCTGCTTTCTTTATATTAATGATATCACTCTGACAAATATACATTTTATATGATCTTCAAGCTGATATTTAGGTTCAAATGTTAGTTATTTTCCAAATAAAAAATCAAAATGAGAGTTTTGGAACATTTTGGAATGAATACTGAACACAAAAATGTATCACAGAAAACATTCTTTGCAATTGCTGAATAAAAATAACACACACACACAAACTCACACACATACAGTAAAGGATTTTTCATCTACTTACAGGGAATGTGGTTGCATTGTGCCACATTCCTCAGCCTCGGGCTACAGCTTCTTTGAGTCCTCCTGCAAATTGTCTCCGTAAGCAAGTGTTTCATCTCACCTCTGTCGTATATTGTCCCTCCTTTTGCATTATCGTGTTTCATCCTCTTTTATCTGCTCTATCCTTACATTCCTGTCGATATATTGGCCAAATTCACAGTGCAAGCCTTTGTGACAAATTCTTATTTGCGGCTCAGTTCCAATTTTTCTTTCTTTTTTTTCCCTTTGTTTGTTCACATTGCTCAATGTGGCCAATATTTAAAACCCTTTTGAGCAGACTTGCATTTAAAAGTTAACAGCATCACAGACACTCAGACTTATGCAGAATACAATAATAAAACATGTATTAAGTCATTATCTCTGGTCATCTTGCAGCTCTTATCTGGTTTTAACTGTTATACTAATTATCTTAAATGTATGGTGAAATCAATTTCTAGATGCTTTTAAACATGCTCTTTCATTAGATGTTTTGCTGAACCAACATTTTAAAAAGCAATGTGATCACAAACTTCTATTGTCCCCCCTTTTTGGTTAATCACCAGCACAAAAGTCTGTCTTCATACGAGTAGATAGTATCTTTGTTTTACATTTCTAATGTCTGTGTTTCATGAATGTTGCATGGGCTTTTGAGAGAAAAAAACACAGAGAAGACAGAGGAGACTTTTTTTTTTTTTACAACATTTATTAACAAACCCAGTGACTGATAAGATGTCAAACAGGCACAATGAGGTAAGATGTGCTGTGGCTCCCTCTTTAGGCCAATTCCTCTTATTACAACATCAGCACTACAAGTTGCTACACATTTTTTTTTTTCCATAAGCCTCACCAGGAGAAAAGATGAACAAGCAGGCCTGGGCTCAGTAATGTAAAACAGACTATTTCAGCAACAAACAAAAGGTGGACAGATCAAGAGTCAAAGGGTTAAGAAGAGTTCAGCCTCTACTTGATCTTGATGCCGATGATCCTTGCTTCCCCGCTGACATCAAAGTACTTGTACTTGACGTCTCCCAGTCGGTTGGGGAAGTTCAACACGGAACCATTGGGAAGCCTGATGGAAAACTGCTCATAGTTGTAGGTGATGTGAAACTAAGAACAGAAAACATATGATTTGTTTTTCAGTGTTGGTCAAGTGTCTGTTAATGTCATACAACAAAAAGGTAAGAGAACTGGATGTAAAAAGAATGACCGAGAAAGATAGGTAGGGCTATCTGTCTCCATCAGTGGCTCTCAGGTTTTATGAGCCTGTAAACCTGTTCATGATTGTATAGCTCAGTTTCTGTTGACCTAACAGTGTTGCAGCACAGATACCAGACACATTAATACCCTCCTTATGGCAAAAGACATTATGAAATTTGCGCTTGGGCCAAATGACTGCAATAAATACAGCAAAAGTACTTTGCCAATGGTCTGCTAAAAGTATTCTTTCAAATACATCAGGTCTGTGTGTGAACTACAATCACACCAGAAGAACCTTTGAGCCTCTATTGTCTAAACAATGATAAAACTGTAAGAATGCAACTTAATTCGGGGACAACTATGCTCCTGGGATTAGATATTTGCCATTTTAGGTGCTGCAGAATGAGATAAGGTCATGGAGGGACATGGAGTTTCTTTTTAACTACTATTTCTGTTGCCACGGTTGTCTTTATTATCTACCCTTTTTGGAATATTGACATGATGATTGTAGTGTACCTAATGTAATTAAGCAGATATGCGGAGTGAAAAGCAATAAGAAGAAATAACTCGTTCTCTCCCTTAGAAATTAAAAGTTGAATTGAATAGCAATAAAACACACTTCCTCAATTGGAAATATTCTTGTGCTACTGCGACTGTGCTATGTTTAAGCATCATATTGTAATTGTAATGTGTGGCGACAGCAAAGGTTACTTTGTCTAGTAGTAGGCTAAATATTACAGTGTACTCTATGTGTATTAAAGTTTCCATACTTACATCCTTTAGACTAAACCTTGTATTTAGATGTATGCAAGAGACTAAACGGTTCTGCTGTTTGGTATCTGAAAAAAACTGAAGTTTGAGAGATTACAGACAACTGACAAACATCCTCATATTTTCCAAACACACCTTGCATTCCTCCCCACGCACGAAGGGAAAGTTTCCCTCATGGAGCTCATCACCCCAGCACCCCCCGGACAAGGAGTTGAAGACAATGTTGTTAGTTTCGAAACGGGGATTGAAGTGCATCGCAATGTTCTCAGCATCATGACCGATGTTGATGGCAAAGCTGCAGTGGAGGCAGGAACACGAAAAAGGGAAGAAGTGGATGAAACATTAACTTGTGCACAGTGCACTATGTCAACTTCCTCTTTATAAAATGCAATTGAATCCACATCTAAAAGCTAAACTGTATGAACCAGAGACAATGGATCTGGAACATTTTCAGAAAGTTCTTCCACTTGAAACTTCTCTCATGAGGGGAACTTACGAGCTGCAGTCGTCCTTGGGCTTGATGCGGACCTTGAACTCATGCCCCTCCTTGAATGTCATGTCCTTGACTTTCTGTAAAGGGAAATGAAAAAGAGGAATATGGGAACTGATGTGGATGGTTGGCTGGATGGATGGCTGGATGGGTGGGTGGGTGGACGGATGAGTCTTTACAATGGTAACTTCACTTCACAAAGAACAAAAGTGACTCTATTAAGGAAACAAGTCAACTTTTACATGAGAAGATATGCAACACTATTTTTTTTTTTTATTTAACTAAAGCTTGGATCAGGCCACCAATCTGTTTTTACAAGAAAGCAGGGCTAAATGCCAACTATTGACTTTATTTTTAATGTTCATCCTTCCACATTAAAAACCCATCTATCTTGTTAGTGAAACCAGAGTGCACAAAGTATATCAATTTCAGACAGAACATTATCTTTTTTTTTTTTCTACATATTTGAAAAATAACGCTTTGGCTAATTTAGGTCTATGTGAGAGACAAACAGAAATAATTGTGTACTCTGGAGGAAGAACTGATGATCAGAGGTGTTCTTATCTTAGCTGTTGATGATCAACCAGGGTGGAACAGTGTACCCTCGGCTGTTAAAGTATTGAAACAGGAAGGTGCGATGTTTGTTCAATGACATGTGGTTGTAATACAGTGACTGTAAAACCATAAAAATACGCCTACCCATTGACCCTATGCAATGTTGCGTTCGCAGATGCTAGGCAGGGACAACTAACACACAACTAGCAAACCTAATAAAAACCTATGAGACATGCATTAGTAGTTTTAACTCTAAATGTGGCATACCAGGAATTTTAACTTATTTATCTAATCAATAATACAATAAATTCCATTCACAACTGTCCCTCCTCTCTGCATGCTCAGCATCACCTGATAGTTACACATGAACTTCAACATCCTGTCCCCTATATACCTGTACCACACCCATAGATAACTCAGCCTATACCACTCACAATATATTCTTTAAAGTCATGTCTTATCACCTATCTCCGATCGGTACTGGTTTATCATTGGCTGCACAGGCGATGTGTTGGAGAATAATTAAGTTAAGTTGTACTTTATTAATACACGTGGGGATTTGTGTCAGCTAACTATTAAGTTGTAATGTGCCAGCATACCAGCATAATGCTTGTCTTTTGTTTCCAAGCCATTGTATAGTATTATAAATTACAATACATGCATGTCTCACAGGGATCATAGAGAATCAGGACATTCTACTCTGAGGTGACCGAGTCAACCACAAATTTTTATTACACTTCCTGGGCAGAAATGCATAGAAATGTGTCACTTAGCTTTCTACATATGACTATGAAATCACACCATACAAGTGAGAAATATTAATATAATAGCTATAATAGCTAGAAAGTTTAGGTACTAATGCTACCAAGCATGTTCTCTTCTTTCTGTGGTCTAGTGAATCAGTGTTAATGATTCTGTTGTCGCGAACACAAACCTTTTTAAAATGTACCACTAATATTCAACCTGTAAATCTGAAATGTGTGAATACTGGTTTGAATATTTTCAGTGCAATCAGAAAACATCTTCCCTATCTGAGTGTTTAGAAATGGCTGTAAAAGTTGGAGAAAAGGAGAAACATTGCTGTTCTGAGCTTATTATAGTGCCATAACTCAGATAAAGAATAACAAGATGATGAATGCAGATATTTGTCAATGAGAAGAATGAAGAAATATGCTGAGATTAAAGCTTTTTTCACCACTTACCATCTTGGCTGTCTTCAGTGGGTTGTGCCTTGAGTGACAAAGCTCTGCAGGCAGGTGTGATTTATATAACACTGGTGACGCTGGGGGTGGGAAGTAAGCAGTAGGGAAAGGATTGTAAAAATATTATAGGATGTCGGCTACAGTTTCGGACGGAAGTTCCCTGGAATGAAAAATATATTTATACATATTTAAGAACTGTAGCAAGTGAATAAATTGTTTGCAAAGTAATATTGTACACATTACAACACATCTCCACAAGGTTTTCTTGGCAGTCTGAAAATAAAAAAAGTATATATTATAATTAAAAAGTGGTCGACCTTCATAGGAAAGTCAAACTGTCCTAAGAACAAACTACAATAACTGGCTACTCATTTACTAACAATGTTGTGGGTTGCTGAGATTGTTGCACTATAAGCGTGTGTCTGAGCAGTGGTTTTGTCTGTGACTCTTCACAACTATGCTTTACCACTACTTTTTTTATAGTCTTGCTGTGAAATATATTATATACTGTTAATTTTAAGAGAGAGGAGGCAGTTATTTATTAGTTTGCATTTGGTTCGCCCCATTTATTACTGTTTCAACTATAACAACATTACATTCAGTTCATTTTGGGGAGTGATTACAGAAGCAAATGCACTGTACTTGCAAGCTTGAAACATAATAAATAAATACATAGATAAATAGAAAAACACA